ACCACTGGCCAGATTCTCCTTGGGAGCAAATCCATGTGGCATCTCAGACCTTACACTGCTGGTGACTCCACTCTTCACACGTGGCAGCAGGAAGGAGAGAGCAGTGCACTTGCACATAAGAACTGGGATTAAGATGTCCAAAAGCAAGTCCTTCCTCTGTTCTTTGTATCTGGGAGGGCTTTTAAAAACCCACTCAATTATATACCTGAAATAATGCTGCCTGAAACCTATGACAGAGTCTCTTTTGGAGAACTTGGAGAGGGTTCAGATACCCTCCAGTGACTCCTCCAGCACTAGGACACTCACCTCTTGAACATCTGAGTAGGGAGGAGAGAGCTCTAATATTAAAATACACCTGTAAATTTAAAATTAAGGGCATGTTCAACAGGATAAGACAGATGTAAACAGAAGAATTAAGGACAAGATTTCAGAAGTGTGGGATCAAATTTGCTTTTTCTTCTGGCTTTGCAGATGGGGAGTGACTCCACAGAGATCAGTGGGCTGTGCTGTGCATGCTCCATGGCTTTAAATAATCCTTTGCACCTGAGTGACGACTGGTTCAGAAACAATTTCAAAGACAGATGAAGATCTAAGCATATTATTGCAGAGCATAAACACTGGTTCAATGAGATTCAATTGCCAAGCTGCAGAAATTATACATTAGTGTATTAGTAACTTGAGAAAAGCTTCATGGGGCGAATGTCTTGGGTTAAGCAATGCAGCCAAACCAGTCTCTGGTATCCTGTGGGATATTGTGCTGCAGTTGCTTTTGATACCTTTGTCATCCACTTCCAGCACAGCATTACATTCCATCTACAGGCTGATAACTCTGGGCCTCCAAGTTTAGGATTAAGAATTGAATGTATGGATCTCATCTGACAGCACGTGTTTGGGATCTAACAAACCTCACCCTTGGGCTTCTCCAGAGCCATCTCAATCTCAGCCTTTCTCACATGGATGCTGTATCAAGACCTCTCTGAACTTGGCACAAGCTGAACACTTTCTTAAAGCTTTGCCAAG